CTGGGCGGGTGGCTCCATTGGTTGGGCATCATCACACCCACCAAAAGGCTGGGGTTCAGTCCGGTCAGGGCACCCCTGCGGGTTGCGGATTCATCCCCAGGCTGGGCGTGCACAGGAGACACCTTCCGATGTTTTCCTCTCTCACCGATGTGCTGGAGTGGAAGTCAGTGGAGGAGAGGAGTCAGAATGACTCCCAGTTTGCCAGGTCTGCTTTGTGGGATTCAGTGGTTGGTACTTGATGAATTGAGTTGGAGAAACAGGGGGACGAGAAAATTTAGAGCAGAGGGGAAGATAATTCATTTAATGTGGCCTGTGTTAGCTTTGCATGTCATGTGATTCATTTACTGAGTCTGGTGCGTCTGAGGGTGAATAGCACCACACATCTGGGAGTTCCTATAAATCATATTTCAGCAAACTATGGCCTGCAGCTCAAATCTGGCCCACCACCCATTTTTTATAGCCTGCAAGCTAAGAATTGTTTCTATATTTTTAAATAGTTGAAAAGAAATCAAAAGAGGAGTATTTTGTGACTTGTGAATATTATATTAAATTTGAATTTCAGTGGCCATGAAATTTTATTGGAAAACAGCCATGCCGTTGATTTATGTATTGTCTACGGCTGCCTTTGCACCACAGTTGCTGAGTTGACTATTGTGACAGAGACTGGCCCTGTGACAGGGAAACACACTGCATGTGTTACTGCCATGGCTTTGCCAATTGCAGTGACATTTGTAACTTGATAGCTTTGGAAGTGCTATACAGTGGGGCCTTGGCTTAGGAGTGTCCTGACTAACGAGTTTTTTGAGATACCAGCTGTCTCTCAGCCGATTTTTTTCATTGAGTTGATAGAGTAATTTGAGTTAACGAGCTCCTTAACGAGCTCGGTCTCGGAACGAATTAAACTCGTAAGTCAAGGCCCCACTGTATATATTGCTGTATTGTTAATAGTACATATGGGTTATGGCAAATTAAGGAGAAGAAAACGACACAGTCAAGGCCCCACTGTATATATTGCTGTATTGTGTCATTGTTAATAGTACATATGGATTATGGCAAATTAAGGAGAAGAAAACGATAGACTTCAAATATCATTCGTTTAAAGCACAGCAGAATGTGGATTATTTTGTTAACAAATTAAATGACAGCATATTGTTTATTATGCAACTACACTACAACTGTACTAATGGAAGCAAATAAAAATGTTTGCACACTGAGCACTCATTCCACAGGAGAACAGTAATCAGTAAAGTTAGAAAATTTAAAACAGAATATCTTATCATAGCAGAATTACTTTACAAAAATAAAAAATGAAATGAGGCTGCAACTGTAGGAAGTTCCTTGAGTGGCTCGTTTGTTAGCCAAGCAAAGAAAGCCTTACACCAATGTTGAGATAATTAAATCATTTCTGATTGCAGCAGCCAAAGAAATGTGTCCACAGAAAATTAACTTGTCTAAGACTTTGAGCCTTTTGGTGAGAACAGTTGCTCAAGAATTGAGGAAATTGGGAACAACATCAATGGTTGATTATAAAACCAGGGAAATGATTTTGAGTGGTTTTCTTTGGCTCTTTGAGTTGAAAAATGTTACTGATTTTGCTCAGTTCTTGTTATTTGAAGAGCCAATGCTGAGTTTGAAGTAACTGAGAAATTAGCCTGTATGACTAGTTTGTGTGGTACAGCTATAGTCAATAGCATTTCCAAAGACGTTCAGAAAACACTAATCTGGCACAAACTGAATTCAAATCTGTTAAGATGTATTCCAGTGGAGAGTGATGACATGTGCGAAGCAGAAAGAGGCCTAGTTGGACATATACACAAATCGTTAAATATTAGGTGCTGTAAGCACTTCATGCTGTCTTATTAATCAGCAGGTGGTTTGCAGCAAATATTTTAACCTGTCATGTGTTATTGAACCAACCAGTAGTATCAACGTTGAACTTCATTAAGTCTCGTGGACACAAGTGTTATCATTTTCATGAATTTGTGTCAGAAATCAAAGCTGAATATCCTGTCTTGGCTATATAATACAGCTGTTCAGTGGTTTTGTAGTGGTAACATATTATTGCAATATTTTGAACAAAGGACCAAGGTTGAAATATTTTTGAACCAAAATACCCATCCTCAACCATATTATGAAATACTGAATTGCTTTGGAAAATAGCTTTTTTTGTAGACTTCATATGTTTTTAAAATATATTTAACCTAAATTACAAGGCAAAGCAGCACTTATATGGAAAACTCACACTACGGTGAATTCATTTTGACAGCTAATGTTGCTTGAATCAAACACAATGTCAAGTTGCTTTATTTATTTCCCATGCTGTCAAAAGTAAAAAGAAATGAGATCTGCATTCCCATACAGATAAAAAGAAGTGAGGTCTTCATTCCTACACAGGTTTGCAGCAGATAGATCTTTTGAACTCAAACTATATATAGTTCTAGCATTAATTTTGGGGATTTGGTGCAAGTGAAAAGGAAATGTTAATAGTTAAAAATCCACCTTACTGGGCAGTTGAGAACTTCCACCTAACCTTCAGTTAGAAGTGATTAATTTGCATTGTATTGACATGCTTAGATTCCCTCTGTGGGTTCAGTTAATTTGCTAGAGTAGCTCGCAGAACTCAGGTGAAAGGGATGCCAGGGAGAGGGGCACAGAGCTTCTATGCCCTCTCCGAGAGCGCACTGCTCTCAGCACCTCCACTTGTTGGCCAACCTGGAAGCTCTCTAAACCCCATCCTTTTGGATTTTTATGAAGGCTTCATTACACGGGCATGTTTGTTTAAATCATGGATCAATCATGATTGATTCAATCTCTACTCCAGCCCATTTCTTAGAGGCTAGGGGTGGGCGGGACTGAAAGTTCCAACTCTCTCATCCTGGTTGGTTCCCCTGGCAGCCAGCTCTCATCCTTAGGTTATCTAGGAGCTTTCCACAGTTGCCTCATTAACATCAACTCTGGTGTAGTTGGAAGGGGCTTGTTATCAGTAACTAGAGGTCCGGTGCACAGATTCATGCACTGGTGGAGTCCCTCAGCCTGGCTTGTGCCCTCTTGCAATCTGGACCCCTTGGGGGATGTCGGAGAGCTGGATTGGGCCCGAAGGTGAAACCATCAGTCACTATGACATGCACTGACCACCAGGGGGAAGACACTCATTGGAGGAGCTGTCCCCTGGTGATCAGTGCACTCCCAGCCAACTTCCCAAGGCTCTGGCTGGCAGCCAGCAGTTGCAGCCAGCAAGAAGGCCCCGGTCAGCAGCCAGAAGGAAGGCCCCAATTAGCCCTGATGGATAGCCAAGATTAGGGAACCTACCTGTGCATGAATTTAGTGCACAGGGCCTCTAGTTTAAATATAAAATTTCAGTTTTTCAATTTTACTTGAAATTATACCATAATCTCTACCCATCAAAATTATTATTATT